TCCCGTGGTGCTCGTGCGGCTGCCGGCTGAATGTGTCAGACGCTGCAGATGGAAAGGTGCAGGACACCCCATGTGCAACGTCGGCCACACGAGCACCACTGGAGGACAGGACGCCGGGACATGTAGGGCGCGCTGGAATGTAAGCCGGCCCACTCCCTGCATTCAGGTGCGGGAGGGGGTGTGGAGCTGTATTGAAGTCAATGGCATCGCCCACATTGCGATCGCCCGCACTCGGAACGCAGGCACATTATTGCCTGCATTCCGGTCCAGTGCGATCTGCAAAAATAGTGCTCGCAGCATTTTTGCGGATCGCACTGGACTGGAACACAGGCACTAATGCAGGCGATCGCACTGTGGGCGAGGGGCCTGCCTGCGGGCCACACCCCCTCCCGCCCCTGAATGCAGGTGTTTTTTCGTTGGTAGATCTCAATGAGCTCGTCATTTGAAAAGTAGATCCCAGACAAAAAATAGTGGGCGCCCCTGGCATACAGTCATTTGAAGTAAACGTTCCCTGTCTCTTGAATTCCCCATACATGATTATATGCTTGAAGGGTACACAGGTTCCTTTTACTTGACTCCACCTCATTTTACTTCACTTTACGCTTGGTTAATAAGATCCATTGGATTCAAATTAAATGCACTGCCTGTCTTTGTAGTGGTATAGTCAACGACCTTCTCTTTCATGGTTCAGTCCTTGATTTCTCTTTCCTACCAGTACTCAGCCCTGCCGTAGATTATTGGACCATGAGCCCCAACAGGATCTGTATAAATCGTAGCCGAGGGCACTACATGTCCCGGCCTGACCTATATACACCGCATGGCCAAACGTTTGTGGACATCTGTCCATGTCACTGGCTATATGGCCAAATGAATATGCACACACCTCCATATTATTGAGCTCAGGTGTGTCCAGTATATACATTATATGTATGTATACATACATGTCCTACATACACTTTATATTATGGAACTATGGAATTACAAGTACCACAATGGCCTGTATGGACTGAATATTACATAGTTCGGGGGCTACAAGTTCCAGCATGTCTTACATACACTGTACAGTGCACTGTACACTGCACTGTATAGGCCTGGGAAATCCCAAGTACCAACATAGCCTATATACATTATATGAGATGTGACTGGGTAACTACAAATACCAGCAGGACCTGCATATGCGGTATAATATACACTGTACATCGCAAGTCTGAGCCTGGCTTGTATACACTGTAGATTTTAACAATTCTCCAACATATGTACCCTGCACATCTCTGCAGCTGAGCTCTAGCTCTTCCCATTTGCTGCAGCCATGGTGAAGTGTCATTATTACACTGTATACATTATAGAGAATACAATGAACACAGACCCATCTCATGGCACCTGGAGAAGTATGGGCAGAGGAAAACCAAGATCTCTGTAGGCGAGATATAGCTCCTCAAAGTCATACTGAAGCTGATTGGTGATCTAGGCTGCCCATTACTGAGATATTATTTCTATTGGACTGAACTTAAAAATAAGAGTAAATTGGTGATCGTGTGTTAAAATTATAGCATTGCCCAATATATCTATAGAGTCTAGTAAAATCTCAATGCCTGCTGTAGGAAAGCAGAATTATACTGTCACATAACGCAAATTATATGTTTCCATGTAATTAAAAAATCAATTTCATCCAAATACTGATTCATATGAGTGTGTGGAACCACATGCAAATGGTGAGTTTTGTATAATTCTTCTGTACATTGTACATTCCAATTTCTAAATTGTGTGGGCAACTTTAGTGATGCTTTTGATTTTCCCTAAAACATTTATTTTCTGATTTTTCTAGGAAATCATACTAACTAAGGGCGAAGGTGAAGTCAAACTGAACTTAGCTATTGGGAAAGGTGAACAGGCTCTTAAGAGTAGTAACATGGATGGACAGATGGTAATCCAAATGCAGCTGCAGACACTGAAGGATGTATGGGGGACTGTCATCAGCACCGCCACTAGGTGTCTCAGGTAGGATCCTCAGATTTGTTTTAGAATTTAAAACGATACCATCTCATATGTGTACACAAAAATAGTTTGCTGTTGTTCATTATTACTGTGTTGCTTGAAATATTTTGTTCTTTACAAGTTCTTGATCTGTTGTTCAGAGACATGCAATGCAGTTAAAAGAAAATACTTTTGTATCTAGCAGTAGCTACAATTATAGTTATTTTCATTGTGTATTCTAGCATTTTTATTGAAATCGCATATACACAGTAGGCCGCCAGTCTAAGGAATAATTTATTTCCTTAGTATTAGCGTTTTCTTTAATCACATCATGAAGTATGTTGAACTGCACCTAAAAGCCAAGCAAAAGAACACTACTCTATTTGATTAGTCAAGTAGGCAAATAGTTGCGCTAGGAGAAATAATGTGTCAATAATTACCAGCTGCAACAATGTGTGATAAAATCCATAAACAATATTACTGATTACTGTTGTGCTTGGTATTGCTAATCTTCTAAATCAAACACCAACATGTATATGTGAGTGAGTTAGTGAATAAACCTGTGTGATACTTAATTAGAGTTGGTGATTAGTATTTAATTTATCAACCTATGTGTACAATCGCAACAGTGTATTGTGTGTTGGTGGATGACTAGAGACTTGTTCATCCACTACACCGCAATCTTAAATAAATAAATAAAAAGTGATTATTCTGTGAGTGAAATTATTTTTGTTTTTGTGTAAAAAAGACTGTGCATCGTGAGCCGTTGGGCGACAGAAACACTTAGGTTTGTTCGTCCACTGATGTAATATCCGCAAAAAACCTTGAATGGGTGTATTAAATATTCAAACCCTTCATATCATTAGTGTAACATTGTTTATACCATTGAATGTGACTTTGGGGTTGATTTACTAACCTTATAAACACGCCACGAACAAGTATACACCTCTGTAGTGTGTTCCCTCCCAGCATATTGGTGGAATCTAGACACCTTTGTAGTGTGTACACACCCAGCAGGTGTGTTGTGCAAAGCCCTGCATGAATTGCAAGGTGATGTTGTGTAAATTAGCTCTACATTGTGTTGCTTGCGTTGATGAATGCAGGAATGTAAATGCATGAGCTAACCATTTTTGTCTAAACTGTGAAGCAGCATTATATATGCATCATGTGCATGATTTTTCCATATATGGCATTAGTGGAAATATGCTTTTAGAGACTTGCATGCCGCTATTAGAGCGGCGTGTAGCCTATGGCGCATGCTACATGACGCGCACGTACGTAAATACATAAAAACGCGCCATAACGGCGTGAAAATGTTACACGTTGCTCGTGTTTGGTTGATAAATACGTTTTGCTGTGTAAAAATGCACACGCACCTGGTGCGTGCGTGTGTTTAGGTTAGTAAATCACCCCCTTTGTGTCAATATCTGCAAATGATTTGTAGTGTGTATTCAGTTCATTCATACTGTGCCGGTTGTATTCAATGCCGTGAACATGCAATCGTATGAAAGAAATGTAAGTTCTTTTTATTTATTTAATTCTCTTTTATTTATTCAAGTCTCTAGTCATCCACCGACACACAATACACTGTTGCGATTGTACACACAGGTTGATATATTAAATACTAATCACCAACTCTATTTGATTAGTGTTGGAGGGATTCTGTTTTAGCCACATAGAAAGCATGTCTATTGATACCTGCATTCTCCAGTAAGGGCATCTATTTATTGGAGTGGATTTATTTCTACATTGGACACAACTTTCTTAACAAGAAACATAAAAGCAGTGTGCCTCTTTTGTGTAGAAGTCTTTATAAAGTGGAAATGCTAAAAGCAAGAAATGTCCTCACAAACAGCCGGTATTAGAAAGCCTGTAGTTACAGAGGTGTATCTGCACTGTGAGAACATCAGAGATCAGTCAAATCAAGGGCATGCCACCTGGAGCGAACATCCTTCTTCCTACATGACAGATTCGGTTAACGCGTTTCTGGGGCGACGACCCCTTAGTCAGAAACAACTTTCTTAAACACTGTTGAGCAAAGTAATATGGTCTTGTTAGTTTAGGCCTTGCTTGCAGTAAGTATTCTAATTCCTCCATTTGGCCACTGAAGTTTAGATTGTGTCACCACCCACCCTTTAGTCTGATTTGTTATTTTAACACATTCTTGTCGGTTTCAGTTTTTCCAGGCTATTCTTAGCTCCCCTGATGAAAAAATGTCCATGGTTTACAGAGCTCAATAGCTAAAGCTAAAATGTTAGCACAGATAAATGAGTCAGGTTAATGACTCATCCACCTCCCTCCCCATCCCTGGCTACCTTATGAGAAGACGTTTTAATTAATGAGAGAGTCTAAAATCAAACATCCTTTGTTATGTCTTAACATAAAGTGACCCCTAGTGCTCTGGGAATCCTTCGGACCTTCCTCCCTTTCAGAGCAGAGAAACCGTCTTGTGATGCCTCCCAACAAAAGAGAAAGTCCCATCTAATATTTCTTATACTGAATGTAGGAATATTTTTTAGTGATTTGTATTCTGCCTTTAATTCAGTATAAATTATTTTTAGTTGCTAAGTATTTGTGTTTTGTACATAAAATAGATGAATTGGTTTGTAATTTTGCTTTTTGTTGTAAACGTAGTGTTTTAGAGGCCGTGATCAATCAATGGAATGAGCACACTGAGAGGAAAAATCAAATGGAACATTGGCTGGAGTCCGTGGATCATAAATTGGAACAACCTCTCCAGCCTCAAAACGGCCTGAAGGAGAAGTTTGGTGTATTAGATTACATTCAAGCTATCTTATCGGATGTAGAAGATCACTCCACTACGCTGCATCATCTCATTGAAAAGACAAAGGAACTACACCAGAAAACTGAGGACCCTTCCTTCTCTGACATTGTCCAGAGTGATCTGAAAATGCACTTTAATGACATCATGACTGTTGCCAAAGTAAGATTTTTCCTTCTAAATGTTCATTTGTATTTTTATAGAAAATATGTCATTTGTAATATGCAGTAGTTTGGTGAAATCAGAATAGACTATTTCATAGCAGTGTAATAAACAAATGTGGATAAACACTGACCTTCAATTTTAAGGGCACCACGGTTGTATGACAGCAGTTGTCTTTTACTGCAAAGTAAGGGCAGCAAATTGAAAATGTTGTATATAGCTCTGCCTCCCCGCATGGATTTAAATTTTATTTTCCAAATGTTTAAATTCAGGTAATGTGCAGTGGTGGGAATCAGCCATGTGAGGTTAATGCATTTATATTGTTACATTTTAAAATGTTGGAAGTCACAGATAAGGTGTTTATAAGTAAGATTCGTGGATGTAAACTATTTTATATTAATTGCTATATTCATTAATGAATTGTCTATTGTCTGTTCATCGTCTACAAGTAGTGTAGCTTGACACACCTGGCCTCCAGTGCAATATATCATTTGATTACAAATTGCAGAAATTTGGTGCGCCTTTATTTTCTCACATCTTACTAGATTCCAAAACAATAACTTTATTTGTATTCTTAAAAAAAAACTTTTTTTGATAATTTTTTTTTATTGTGCAGTAAATAGGGATCTATTTCCTAAGAATTCTCTGTTTACTAATATAACTCTTTTGTTATTCTTCTTTGACAATATATAAATCTTAGCGTTCTCTCATATACTATAACTTCTGACTTACTTTTCCATAGTTTTCTCTCTATCTACATTAGCAAAATCACCATTATTCCTTCATATTCAAATATTTTCACCCTTCTACCCATATTGCACAAGCCCATCATCAATATAATAAAAATGTAATAGTGGTCAAATAATTTAATGTTAGTGGCCTTAATATGTTTCGCCACATTGGTGACTTTATCAGGGAAGAAAGTGCATAGTGGTGTGCTTATTGTGGTAGTTTAACTGCAAAATCAGTTTGCAAGTTCATGCAAAAAATAAAAAGTACACAATATGAGCCAAGCCAGTCCTGTGCCTACTTCTCCAGTCATCCCCAATGCTTATTACTCTCCCTGCAGCAAACATGCCTACTGCATTACCTTCTGTAGGAGAAGCAATTTAGTTGCACACTTCTTCAATGTGATGGTGATATAGAGGGCATTTTGATATGACTAAGTAGACCCTATGAGCACCTCAGGAGCAGGGAACAACTCTACTACATACTTTGAATGGAGTTTTGTTTAATATATAATATCGATCCCTATGCTGCATGAAAATGTATGCTTTAACTTCAAAAGTTTAAAAAACTTATCCAGATGATTAATATCCATTTTGTTGTTACACCTAAATGGACATTGACTAATATAGAAATGTTGAATTTTGTGTTCAGGAAAAGATGAGGAACATTGAAGACATAGTAAAGGATCATCTGCTCTACCTGGATGCTGTACATGAATTAACTGATTGGCTGCACTCAGCTAAGGAAGAACTTCACCGCTGGTCTGATGCCTCAGGAGATTCGGCTTCCATCCAGAAGAAAGCCACAAAGATTAAAGTGAGTTGCTGGATTAAAACCTGTGTAAGGGGGAAGTCAATTTCAGTCTTGACTACTACAGAAAGAACAGATGATAGAAATGACATATAGGAGGTTATTCACAAAGCTCCTGAGGGCAGCCGTGTGAATAACCGACCCGAAGTGAAGTGAGTTGAACGCTGTTCGGATATTCACTTCAGGCTTGTACGGCTGATTTCACCTCTGTGGTACCGAGCAGAATAGAAAAGCTGTTAAAAAAAGTAGAAAAAAAAAGTAGAAAATGATTAGGTGGAGCTAGCAGTGACAGCTAGCTCTGCCCAACTGTTTTCTATTGGCCAGGACCAGCTGTCATTACAATGAGAGCTTGTCGGAGCCGGCGGGGATATCAAAGCCGGCTCCGCTAATAAAAGAGGACACCCCACAAGGAGAAAGATGGCACAATAAAAATTTAAGGGATTTAACCCTTGTCGAATTTGACACAAGATATGGGAAGATAAAATACACCTTTTTTTTTTCTCTGTGGGGGATTAGAAGACTGTAGAGGTTGGATATTGTGAATGTTAAGTTATTATTTATTTATTTTTTATTGTGTATATGTATGTGGTAGTTCTGCTGAACCAAAGGGATCCTGGGGCCGAAGCTAGCCGAAGGATCGGCCGAAGCTACGGCTAGATCCTTTGGCAGCTTTGTGAATAGACCCCTATAGTCTTTGTATAAATGAATGACAAAATACACTGTCTGCAGTATGGTATACAACACAGAAAAACTACATATGAACATAGAAAATACAGCTCCAGTCCACTCTTGTCTGTAAAAATTGCTGGGTCGCCTTCCAGCTCATCCGTGAATATAGAGTATATGTAATATAACAATGAATAATGGCACTCCAGCATTAATTGCAGAATCTTTATTTTAGTCCAATTGGGAGCCAGCTGTCTCTTCCGGGTTAAAGCAGCCGGCCCTTCCTGCTGTTTGCTTGGATATGTGATGGGAATATCCCAGAAGGCTTCAGAAGCATATACATGTCATTCTCACCTAGGGGAGAATAGGGGCAAACATTAGGGCCAGACAAACAAAAAGAGAATATAAACCAACCATAAAATCTACCTAAAAACAGAATGCAGTGATTTGCAAGACTTATAAACCCATATTTTATTCACAATAGAAATTAGAAAACATATCTAAAGTTTAAACTAAGAGAATGTATGATTATAAGAAAAAAATAAGGTAAGTTTGAAATTGATGGCAGCAACAAATCTCAAAAAAAGTTGGGACAGGGCAACAAAAAGCTGGCATAGTAAGCGGTACTAACAAGAAGGAGCTGGAAAAAACATTTTGCAACTAACTAGGTTAATTGGAAACAGGTAAATAACATGATTGGGTATTTTAGAGAGTCAGAGTGTCTCAGAAGTAGAAGATGGGTAGAGGTTCACCAATCTGTGAAAAGCTTGTCTAAAAATTATTGAACAATTTCAGAATAATGTTCCTCAACATATAATTGCACAGAGTATAAATATATCACCATCTACAGTACATAATATCATAAAAAGGTTTAGAGAATTTCGGAGAAATCTCTGTGCTCAAGGGACAAGGCTGAATATTGAATGCCCGTGATCTTCAGGCCCTCAGACGGCACTGCATTAAAAGCAGACATAATTCTGTGATGGACATCACTGCATGATTTTTGGAATACTTCCAAAAATCACTATCTCTGAACACAGTTCGCCGTGCCATCCAAAAATGCAAGTTAAATCCCTATCATGCAAAGAAGAAGCCATATCTGAACATGATCCAGAAATGCCATTGTCTTCTCTGGGCCAAAGCTCATTTAAAATGGTCAGTTGAAAAGTGGAAAACTTTTCTGTGGTCAGGTTAATTGAAAGTTGACATTCTTTTTGGCAACCATGGGCTCCATGTGTCCACCGGCCAAAAGCAGAGAGGGACATTCCGGCTTGTTATCAGCGTTCAAAAGCCTGCATCTCTGATGGTATGGGGGTGCATTAGTGTTTATGGAATGGGCAGCTTGCACATCTGGAAAGCCACCATCAATACTGAAAGATATATCCAGGTTTGAGAGCAGCATATGCTCCCATCCAGTCTTTTTTTCAGGGAAGGCATTGTATATTTCAACAGCATGGCTTCGTAGTAGAAGAGTCTGGGGGCTTAAAAAAGTAAGTAGCATTTTACATGAATGTTTTTGCTATACTCTTGCTTCGGTTATCTCTATTTTATTTCAAATGAGTTTACATGAGATTTTACAGAGAAAAATGTATATTGTGTGTGTCACTAGCATTCTATTTTCACTTTCAACAACTGGATTAGTAAGATCTCTTACATGTTTCATGCTCACAAGTGCGTATTCATAAAGAGATTTCCTGAAAAATTAGATGCCCTTTTCTTCAGTACAAAACAAACTCCTAAAAAGGGAACAAACTAAACAGTTGTTACTAATGAGGATCTCACGTTACTTTTGACATTATAAACACTTTGTAACAACATTCAACAAAAACATTTACCCAAATGCATCCCATAGATCAGCTGCTTAGCTTGTTCCCCGGAAGTAAGGAGTTTGTACTGAATAAGAAGAATCTAGTTTTTCAGGAAAATCACTCTATAATGAAGCACCTTTGAGCGCAAAAATGTCAGAGATCATGCTATTTGTTTGTTTAATCCTGTTTTTTTAGGGCAGAAATAAAGGTTCTGGATTCTGGATTGTATTTTATGAACAAGCAGTAAAATGCAAGTATTGGTGTTTGCAACAGAGCATAATGAAGAGCAGATAGCAATATCTGTTCTGCATATAAATGGATACCTTCATTTTGGATACAGTAGAAAAGGGTTAAGACTCTTGTTGAGGAGATTTCCTTCACTTCCTGTTCCAGAGACACAACACAAAGTAAAAGAAGATCTTTCCAAGCAAGAGGAAATTTCCTCTTAGACAGTTATCATCATAATCGGTGTACCCATTGGAAGATTTCTCCTCACCTCCCATTCCTGTGACCAGTACTAATAAAAAGGGGAATCTCACTAGTAGGGACACAGCCAACAAAAAAAAATCAGACCTGTGCTCTAACCCTTCCACATCTTAGCCAAAATAAAAAAATGTTCTAAAATGTACCAGTCGGTGCATAACTATATATTTTCTCCTTGCAGTTTAGAAAATAGGTCTAATAAGTTGTGACAAGGAGCACATTTAGTTTCTTTTTTTAATGGGGCACTTTATGTTCAAGCATAGTGCTTGACTTGCTAAAGCTACATGGGTTGTTCACTTTGCAAGGGAATTTCCCTTAGCTTTGTGAATGAAGTGAAATGACCTAGGGGCGCTGATCTGTCATTAAACAATAACAACTGGGCGGAGCCGGCTGCCACATCGCGGCCGGCTCTGCCCAGTTGTTATTCATTGACACTAGCAGGTGTCGGCCAATAGGAAACAGTTGGGTGGAGCTAGCTGTCCGCCCAATTGTTTTTTCTTTCTTTTCTTTAAAATATCTTTTTTTTTATTTTACTATTTGTTTATATTTGTTAAGTATTTTTTCAACTATTTTTTTTTCCCATTCATTTAACTGTTTTGCTATTCAGCTCAGCACCTCAGAGGTACCGAGCAGAATAGCCGAGCCAAATGCTGCTCGGCGGCATTCGGCTATTCACTCACTGCTGCTCGGCCCCTATGGAAATAGGGGCGAACGGCAGCGAGCGAGCTGCCGAAGCTTCGGCTCAGCCGATCCAGGTGTTGGATCGGCTGAGTTGAAGTCCCTCTGCACTTCAACTCAGCCGAACATGCACTCGGCTGCCTTCGGCAGCTTTGTGAATAACCCTGTTAGAGTAGTACTTACATATAAATTGCATTTCTAATAGTGCTGGTAGACAGTTTTTGATATTTTTGAAATTTATTACACGAGAGCTTCATATATTTTGTTCACAAACAACAGACAAACACACTTTTTAACACATGCCCATAATAACTGGTTTTGTAGACTTTTGCTTTCTGAGCTACAATTAACAATTGACAGGGAGGATTTTTAAAGTAAAGGTCCGCTTTAATTATTTATTTTTCTAAAAATAGTTTAACTAGCATTTCACATGAATGTTTTTGCTATATTCTTGCTGGTGCTAGCTCTATTTTATTTCAAATGAGATCACATGGATTGTACAGAGAAGAGTGTTTATATAGTGTACGTCACTAGCATTCTCTTTTCACTTTTAACAACTGGAACATTAATGTTTGGAATCAATTACTAGCTACATAGCATGTGAGCAGTCACATTTCCCAGGGTGTAACGGGACGACTGCTGTAAAAGCTTCCTGCACAACTTTGTAAACTTTGCTAGGCTTTCCTCCTCCTCTAGGGCCACAAACAACTTTGGTTGCTATAACAATAACTTTTTCCATTGCAGGAGTTGATGGATTCCAGACAGACCGGAGCTGAACGCCTAAGCAAAGTTGAAACTCTGGCTCCTGCAGTGAAGAAGAACACTACTGCTAGTGGGTGCGAACAAATAGATGCAGAGATCCAAGGCCTGCAAACGGACTGGAAGCAGTGGGAGGAGAGTGTCAATCAAAGTAAAAACACTTTGGAAACTCTTTCAAGTCAAATGGCTATCTCAGAACAGGAATTCACATCCCAGGTCTCAAAGCTGGAAGATGCAGTCCAAGACTTCAGTGTGTTTCTGGAAAAGTGGGCTCAGAAGCTGATGCAAGCGGAAGGCAAGAATACAGACAGAGAAATAGTGGAACACTGGCACAGGCAGAAGGTGAGACTTTCAATCATTTTGGGCTGTATGCGGGTGTCACATATAGAGGAGAATATACTGTACGCATTTAAGTGGTTTAAGTCTGCTAAATCAAATATTTTCATGGCCTACAAATTGTTTTATAATAGCTAATCTGTTACCAAAGTGTTGCAGAACAGGCCATGAATTGCATCGACCTATATGCACTGACACAGGCATTGCTATCACTTGTTCTGACTAGCTTTTAGCCACCCTGATATCTCAAGCATGTCCCATCCCCTACTTATTTGTACTACAGAAAACACGTCTTACATGCCTTACTGTCGAAGCAGGCACGGTGGCTTAAAAGAGGTATGCATTAATTGTACACCTTCACATAACACAAGCTTTGTGTGCAAGACAGTTATAAGCAGCCTAGAAAATCTAGTGCATGCTTGCTGCAACCTAGGAAGGACATTTTTACTATGCTATACGGATATTGTGTGTGTGACAGGCTTAGGCCTCATTCACACATCATAAGCAGCCACGGTGCTGAGGATACTTGTAGCTGGGATACCAGGTGCTCTGATCAGCGGCTCCGCTGAGCCTCTAAAACTCAATGACAGGCTGAAAGGAGCCAGGGCTGCATGTATTCACATTCAGCCACTCATCCAGGGATTGCCTGCAGTTAGGAACAAATGTTTGGCCCTGGATGCAATCAACTGGTATTAAATGGTAGAGGCAGAGTGGAGTAGCCACTGCTAACAGAGCACCTGGGATTCTGGCCCAGGTATCCACAGTATATTTGCTGCACTGTGGATAAAAGGACATGTGGCCTAACATGTTGTCACTGTCACTTATGTTATGCCACCTGCCCAGTCTGCCAGGAAGTCAGAAGGCACATGTGATATATTGTGCCTGGTACCACAAGGTCCACTAACAAGCCAAATTCCTGAAGTATCCATATTGCTTCTGATCTTTCTACAAAAGTACCCAGATCACGAGAAGGGAGAGAGGAACCTTCATCATTCTGACTGTACAGTGCATTCCTTCCCAGGTGGATTCAGCCATATTTCCCTGGGTAGCTCCACTGGCATTTTAGGCCTGTGTGCACACACTAAGCACTTCACCCCCCAACCAGGCAAATTTGTAGGGATCTATATAATATATTTTAGGAAACAAAAAACACAATTTTAAAATCTATATAGAGTGCTCTGAGTTTCTAGTACCCTGGAAACTGTTATAGAAAGATGAGCAAATCGATTTGAAAATCAGGCACACAGGCATACTGCACATTTTTTAATTCCCCTAAATATAGGTGTGTACATTTACCCAATCTGCAGGGAATCATATAATCAGGAAGCACAATTGCCTGCATTCCTAAACTACATGCTTTTTCCTGCAGACAGGTCTACACATAGATAATCAAAAAGTAATACATTCATACTTTTCCTTATTAAATCACTTCTGTTAATATATACGCAAAATAGGCAGTAAGCAGTATTCTCTGCAAAACATGATACATACATTAAAAAAGAACTCCAGGGGAAAATCTGTAGCCCCACTGCAGGGTTAAGTGCTTGTTTGTGCACTTAACCCTTACAGTGCACGGATAGCCTCACTGCAAGGGTTAAGGTTTTTTCCCCAAGTTCTGCCTCAACTGAAAAGTCAGAGTATTCTCATGAAATTTAATTGAAATTTGTATGGACCCAAATCTGCCATGCCATGACCTCAGTCGACATAGCACCTGGAGTAGCTCCCCAACTCGGGGACCCTGGGAAAAGTATACTTTCTTTCATTCACATGTATAAACATTGCTTCTGCAGCAGGGAAGACGTTGTGTTGCTAGGATCTTGGCTTCATGCTACATTGATTAAAAACATATGGAGAAGGTTGGGAGGCGGGCTAGAGTACAAAGGACACATTTATTTCTTTAAAGTCACATACTGTATACAAAGACCGTCTAACTTCAACAGTCCTTTTAAGCTCATTTACCAAACTTGTAATTTTTATAGTGGCCTCCGATACTTTATTGGGGGGAGGGTATTTAAAAAAAAAAAAAATGAATTGGCTGTTTGAGTGATCATATCTAGTGCACTACTTTAGTGTGCACGTCATCACAGTGCAATACAACATGATGTGTATATGCATTGCCATTCATTTTGAATAACATTCCACAAAAGCCAAGGTAAAAATGAACTCTTAGTAAATAAGCCCCTGTCATGTTGCATTAAATAGCTACTGTGTATAAGGTCTAACCCAAGCAACTGGAGGCTATTTAAGTGCAAAGACCACACTAAGGACTGTAGAGAATATTAGAGAGAGAGAGAGACTTCTGTATGAGCTTACACTTTGCAGGGGAAGTTGCCCCCTTAGCTTGGTAAATGAGGTAAAGCTCTGCTGACTTCATCTTCCATTGTGCAAGCAAAAATACAGTTTTTTTTATTTTCCATGCATGTGATTGGGTATTCTTTGCAACCTGAAAATTCACCAAGCTATGGGAAACTTTCCTGGCAAAGTGCAAATTCCCTTGAACAGTTAGTGCAAATTCCCTTGAACAGTTAACAGTCTTTTTGCATTTAATAAATCAACCCCAAAGACTTAAGATTCTGTAGTCAGCATCCATTGTTGCAACGAAGAACAAGATGCAACCAATGCTCTTCTTAAAATAGAACTCGAGTTTTGGGTAAAAGAGGAAAGAACATCTCTCATTTTATTGCTGTCTGCCTTCCACATTGGGGGGACTCAATCTTACTGTTGTCCCAAGGACCGAGCGTCTGGGATACTTTACGGTAGTCAACGGAACAAAAGTACAGAGGAAATCTCAAATAGAGACACCTGTTCTGGAGACAACTATCACTCTGGGGAGGTTTCTTCCCCCTTCCTGTTTCGTCTTCAGGATGGGTAGTGAGGATGTATCACCCCATTGGGCATACAGACAACAATAAAGGCCTGAGAATGGTTCTGAATCTTCTGTACTCTATCCAAAATAAGGGACCAAAAATTGTTCCCTATTGGCACCAGTGCATATGGATCACAACACTGGGAATATCAGTGAGATAAAAACGGAGATGAGACCTACGTTGTAGTTTAAAAACGTAAGCACGTTGTTCTTTTTACATATTGCTTAACTTGTATTATATTTGTTTTAGGATGCTCTCAACGCCCTCACTGAAGCTGAACATATCACAGATGACTTAAAAACTCAACTAAATGACCTCTGCAGATTTTCAAAGGACCTGAGTGTATACTCTTCTAAAGTGTCTGCTCTTATTAAGGAGTACAACAGGTATATTTCTTGCAGAATATGCATAATATCAACATGAAACCTCCAATACATCTGGACTATCTATGAAACAAGTAACTTAAAATATTTGACTTTTCCTCATTGGAGTCAATAAAAAGCTTTGATTTTGAGGAAGGAAGCAAGAAACAATCAGTGAATCAGTGTAGCTGATGTAGCTAGGGCAGTGGTTAAGCAATCACTGCCTCCCCATGTTAAAGAGTTTGTTTCTTATTTGTGAGCTTGGGCTAGGAAGGGGCTATGAGGACAGCTGGGACTAGGGTTCACTATCAGGGTTCGACTGAAATTATTATTTTCCCTATGATAACACATTAAAGTGACACTAAACTCAGGAGTTAAATCCTAAAAATGTATTCAAGCACCTTAACTATTAACAAAAGCGTACCTTATTTGTGTATCACTCAGCTGTAGATCCTCAAATCATCTCTGAATTGGTGCTGACACTGCCCTTCCTTCTGGAGGGTGGCTACTTCTGTTCCCCATCGTTCCTGTGTGTGTCATATGGTAGCCACCACTCCAGCTCATTTCCATAGAACCAGTTGACGTGACGGTTACCTGAAAGGGTGGCCTAAATTATTTATTCTAATATTTTCTTTACTGTATCGCCATAGTCTATACGTCTTCTCTGTGTCCTTTCTGTTACTGATCCTGGTGCATTAAACTGGTACAGAATATCACTCTCAACATTCATGGCTTCTTAAGTAATAGTACATTTAAAGATAACCACTTTAGCATACCTAAATGCCATAACAGCTTGATGTATAGTATTAGGCCTAAAGTTCAGTATAAAATATAGATACATGTTCTCATATCTTACAGTTACGTATTTGTTCTGTATTTTTATATATATAAAGGGTTTGCTTGCAAGCCTCAAAGGCCTGCCAAAGCAAAGAGCAAACTTTACAGCAGAGATTCCGCACAGCCTTCAGAGACTTTCAGCAGTGGCTGGTAAATGCAAAAGTGATGACTGCCAAGTGTTTCGATATTCATGAAAGTATTACTGAAGCATCCGCCAGTCTGGAGAGAATTCAAGTAAGATATTATGTTTTTTTATGACATTGTAGCATGTATTGTTAAGGAATTTTCTGTACTCACCTTGCATTACATTCTATGTATATCGTGTCACCTTATATGCTAGTGTAGTGTTATGTTTTTCCAGATTTCTGATTTTTTTTTTCTTTTTAGGAATGCCTTTCTGAAAGTGAAAGCGGCCAGCAGAAACTACAAATAGTGATATCTAGAGGTGAACTTTTGTGCAGTATTATGCCTGAGGAGAACATAAAAAATATCCAGCAAAAGGTCAATACAGCAAAAAATGATTGGAAGAGCTTCATCTCCTCTCTACATCAGAAGGAATCTGCTTTAGAGGTTGATTTTTTGTCCTTAGTAATATATAATATGCACATATGTACTTATAACTATATAACTGATGACAAGATAAAACCAAGGGGCATGCGTGTTTATGTGAGTAGTAGACAACCCAGCATGTTTTGTTTTTGGGTGAAAAGACATTCTGATTAATAGCATATCCCCATAACAAGACGTGATGTGCTCTGTTTGTTCACCTAGTGTCTTGATTTTGGCTGGACTGTCTTCATTTTCAACGGACAGGGGAGGGGGGCGGTGTGACTGCATACAGGCATACAATATTTTTATATTTGTATTTGCACCAAATAGCTAAAATCTCTTTTATATGCTGCCTTTTTACTGTTACAACATAGTCCTTTATCCATACTGCTGTTTTTCCACTTATGTATGTTTTAATGTACTTTAATACTATATGTCAATTTGGTATAGAATTTAAAGGTACAGATGAGAGACTTTGAAGCAAGTGCTAAGCCAGTTCAGGAGTGGCTCAGCAATACTGAACGAATAGTTCAAGACAGTAATAACCGCCTCCATGACCTGCCCTCTAAAAGAAAGGAACAGCAAAAGCTGCAGGTAACTTCTGACCATCCTCCTCCGTATGTCCATGGCCTCCCCAGGCGCCAATGTTTATGATATTATACCAACATGACCTAAATTATTTCCTTCAGTCATACGCTTACCTTGCAATAATCTAACATTGTTGTCAACTTAAAGGTCAATATTACCCAAGTCTGATCGGCAGGTATAGAATGCATTGCCTGCTGGCTGTTTTTAGCTGTTTTACACTCCAGTTTTGATATTTCCCAGTTTAAAGCTCCTCTGTTTCCCGAAAAAGTCATAATGAAGGTGATCCAGTTGGCCAACGTGTAATTCAGTTTGCCAGCTAAAATAAACATTTTGGGTAGAGATGGCCTAATGTCTAACATGTTGCACCCAGCTTCTACTAATGTCTGTATGCCATTGTTATGTGTTCTGCTCTTTCTGAAATGTGCTTATGCTCTTTAGTCTATCCTGGAAGAAATAGCCTGTCATGAGCCACAAATCACCAGACTAAAAGAAAAAGCTCAGCAGCTAAGGGAAGGACAGTCTGCCAGCAAAACCTGTGCGCACAGGGTGTCTCAGCTGTCTGCTCAATACCTAGCTTTAAACAATCTAACCAAGGTAATGTTTCACTGTTTGCGCTTGCTGCTTGTGTGCTACTCCTGATGTGCATTCTTTATTGCTGTGTCTGATGTTACCTAACGAAGCATGGAGTGTTTTAACTGCCTGAATAGTAATATATATCATCTGTATGGCTAATCTGATAGGCCGTAAAAACATTGTATCAGACATAAACCTAAGGGAAGGAGGGTAGTGAAGGTTAGGCACAATGCTGTCACAAGGACGTTTTTGAAGCTTTTTTCTTTAAAGTTTTAAAGGTAAGTCTGGTCTTTTAATCCCTGCTTCGGGCTTTTATGCATCATAATATGACTCTTGGAGGTTAGGCTCAAAGACTGTAAGCGTAAGTGAATCCATATCATCATCACCCTTCTACACAATTGCAGGGCATGGGGATGACAGGATGGTACTGCAGTAGTTAATAAGAGTCTATGTCATAAGTATAAAAATTGCTGGCACAACCATAAATGCTTCTCTAAGACAACCGGGCCAGTTCAGACAAGCAGTACAAATCAATAGGGATGACAGCACCCATAGATGCTGTCACTCCACATATCTGACACCCCCCAATTGGTATGCTGAAAGAAAGGAAATGAAGAGAGAGCGATGATTAAAGGAAATCTTATGAAATGATCGCCATAGTTTTCGTACCCATGAATCAACCACTCTCCACTCTACTATACGCTCTACTATTGTTTCTGTTGATTGACAGATATTAATTCAGCACTAGAGGATCTCTGAAACAGAACCTTTAGAAGTCTTGTTTTCTTTAGCTTGCCTTTCACTGAAAGATTCTTATAAGCATGGCTACATTTATTGTTGCATATGTTTTACCGTCAGAATCAGAACACAATTTCGGAGAAGTCAGACCTTTACAATTTGCAATGTGGAGACTTGGACTCCTATGGAAAGATTTTACCTGTAGGGGCACAACATTGAAGTGTGAGCATTCACAACTATTCTTTGTTAGTGATCTGGCAAAGCTACCAAGACAAAATCGAAACACAATTTTATGAAGGGAATAACAAGGTGATTCTCTTTGTTATAATATGCCGAGGGGCGTTATACAGTCTGCACTTCTTTCCATGTAAACACAGTAATAGAAATTGACATTGTGCCATGGTCTGCCACTGCTGGATAGAAAATATTAAGAATCACTAATAGTAAGGTGTGACATGTGGCACTCAGCTCACAGTAGTACCTACTGGCTTAGTACCCACAATTTCTGTGAAGTCAAATTCTGCTTATGTGTCCTGTTATCTGTTCCAGGGTTCATTCTGTAGGCACGATCTGCTATTATGTATTACACTGAAAGGTAGCATGATGTAGCATCACTACACAGTCAATCTGACCTGTCAGTGGAAATTTAGGAATTGATACAGTCACACATGTATTGTACAGTTTTAATTTACATAATGTTCCTGTGAAATCTTAGTCAGCATTATTCTAAATTTCCAACATTGCACCTGATTCCTCTGTAGGAAAAAATGTCTGGGATGGACCGAATTGTTGCAGAACATCAACAGTTTTCGCAGGGCCTGAATGAGCTTCAGGACTGGATAAAGGATTCTATTCACCTGCTGCAATCCTACAGTCACCCGACAGCAGATAAAAGTGTCCTTGACAGCAGAATGTTCAAGCTGGAGGTAACTATGCCACAAGTATTTCATTTAATTTTTATTCAGAAATACTATATACTGTTAGTATAGCAAATATTATATTTCTTAAATAATAATCATAGCTTACTATATGCATAATACATTCTTATATTACCCTGGTTTCTCAACATGAATTTAGCATGTCAGACAGGTTTTTGTGGCAGCCTGTGTGTGTTTCCAGTTCTCATTAAATTAAATGATAAGTATAAATGCTGCTAATTAATGCATTCTTGCAGCTACTTGCCAGTTTAAATAAAGTTGTCTTCACATTAGTATTCAGCATCTTGTTTTAACTGAGTAAACAGCGCTAATAATGGAAACAAAATACACGTGTGTAAACCCAAAGTGTTTTTGAGCTGTGATAATATTGCTAAAACTGAAACAACACGGGAAATGCGGAATGCAAATTACCGTCAATTATTACTTGTGAAATACCCTATACAGGGTTAAAGAAAATCGTGACTTTTTAAACAAATATCAATCCTAAGTGCCGTCGTTGTTACAATGAAGTAAATGAATCTATGAAAACCTTCACTTTTACAAATCTTGCTTAAACCTTAATGTGCATTGATATCATTGTGCAACATAATATATGTGAACAAAAATTATTGTGAACAACAAAAAAATATATTGTGAACAAAAAATATTATGAACGAAAAATATTGTGCTTGTATTTTGTGTTTCCACACGTGTATTTTGTTTCCATTATTAGCGCTGTTTACTCAGTTAAAGCATCTTTAGATCCAGTGGCCTAGAATACAGCAGCTTTTATTTCACATCACAATTTTTATAGTGGCGATTCAATATCTCTACATTAGTACACATTGTATCGGTGGTTCGACACGATACACTTTAGGCTTGTCACATTTTGACACAAATTTACTGTTATGTATTTTTGTTTTCACTTTTCTTTTCATCATATTTAGCTAATGCGATAACAAGTACTATTCATGGTTTAAACTACTGACACTTATATGAGATATAAACAATTGAACTCTTAGCGCTGCTCATCCAGTTATACAAGTATGCAACATCTGTTGTACAAGCTTACATTGCTCTTGTTGGTGCAATACAGATAAGCTTACATTGTTCTTGTTGGCTCAGTACGCTCTGCAAAGGGTCTTGTTTGTGCTGTGCCACTGTATGAACCCAGTCTGCAGCTTTTCTGAGCACTGACACTATAGTTCCAATTAATTTCCTCTTCAGGGATGGGCATTAGAACAGTTGCAAGGTGCAGTTTGTTCATACTCCTGTTTTCCTTTGATTCTCACTGAAAACTGTACTGTCAGGGGTATTCTGTAGAAGTGTATGACAAAAGAGGTGGAGGTACAAGTCATATCAACAAGTCAAATTTGAAGATGTAAAATAAATCGAAATTAAATATTGTGGGTGATACCCTCACTTTCCTTTCCTTTGCTTACATGCAATACCATCTTTGGATAAAACATGTACCCTGTGTACAGCCTTTTTAAATACAAAGGGCTAGAGACAAGCGCACTGATCTGCTCAAACTGATCCCCAACCTGTCTGTCTATCTCCCACCTTGACTGCCTTTAGGCGTTCCCTAAAGACTCATCTCTTCAAGGAAGCCTATCCCACCTTGACCTAACCACTGAAACTTCACATTCTCAAATAATTCATCCCCACACAGCTACCTCCTCATGTATCACTTCCCCCTCCTCTTTTAGATTGTAAGCCCTCAGGGGCAGGGCCCTCCTTACCATCTTGTCTTGAATTGTATTGTAATTGTAATGTCTTCCTTATATTGTAAAACACTGCACAAACTGTTGGCGCTATATAAATACTATGTAATAATAATAATAATAAGCTGCTAGTCAGGAGTGGGGCAACCCTATTACAGGCCTACATTAATGTTCAGGAGCTGGTAGTTGATTTCCTTTGCTAGCCTTCATCCAAACCGAAACATTATCACTGAGTTGGTGTTGGCTGTTTTATGACAATCCGTTTGGTATAGGCTCTGCTACTAGCGAAGCAGGAGAAGGAAATCCCGATTCTGATGATAATAACCCGAGGAGAATCAGTTCTGAGAAACACGTCACCAGAAGGAGCCTCTGCCATTCAGGACCAGCTTCAAGACCTGAAGGACTCCTGGGCCTCCCTATTATCCTCCTGTATACAGTGTAAAAGGTAAATGTTTTAGATGCTGTGCATATCTCTCTATATAAAGTTGCATTTGTTTTCACCTTATAGTATAAGTGAATATTTATTATTGATTGTCTTTAATTTTTACAGCCAACTTGAAGGGGCTCTGTCTAAGTGGACTGGCTATCAGGATGATGTACGTCAGTTCTCCAGCTGGATGGATGGGATTGAGGATAGAATGAATGATGCTGAAAGGCAGTACAATGATCTGAGGGACAAAATTGCAGCACAGAGCAAAGCTAAAGTATGTACATATTTATTCATTCTGACCTAAATCATTTAGAGTTGTCTGCAAGTGTCTAATACATAAGAAACGCAAGAGCTTGGGGCTGCGTAACCAGAAGGCAAAAGTAGTATTAAGACGATACAGTATGTTCTTTAACAGTATCTCATTGCCAGACACCCTGGTAGTTTTGTGCCCCCAGGGCTGTAGCTAGGGTGAGGCAAGTGAGGCACTCACCTCGGGCGCGGCCAGGGCCAGCCTGGCTGTGCCCCCTCACCCCTGTTGCCATGGTGAGCACAGGCGCCATGGCAACAGGGGCGCTAGGCAGCCAACACAGCTTGACCTCAGCGCGGCAGGGAGAAGAGGGGCGGCACAGCCTGCAGCTTCTACTCGGACATATTTACCGATCCTCCACTCTCCATCCTGAGCCACTTGGCCATGCACAGAGATGCACAGGAGAAGCAGCGCTGAAGTCGCCGGGGGAGCGCTGTTATTTCTGGATGGCCGAGCGATGAGGAGAGAGAGAGAGACGCTGGCTATCAGATCCGGGCCGAGTGGCTCTCTCTCTCCCCACCGCTCAACCATCCTGGATGACAGCTCCCTCCTTCCGCCCCCCTGCCAGCTGCAGCGCTCCATTTCTCCTCGGATCCCCTCTGCCTCTGCCCATACAGACGGTTGAGAGAAGCGGGGAATCTGAGGAGAAATGGAGGAGGAGGGAGCTGTCATCCAGGATGGTTGAGCGGTGGGGAGAGAGAGAGAGCCACTCGGTCAGGATCTGATAGCCGGCGACTCTCTCTCCTCACCGCTCAGTCATTCTGAAGTAACAGAGCATAAGAGTTGACATTTTTGGTTAATGTTTGTCATGTTTATGGCTTAGCACTTGCTTTAAATAAAGCTGCATTAAAAAAATAAATATAAATATGCAAATTATTCTATTGATAACCCTGGCAATGTTTGTGTAATTAGCTGACATGGATGGAAATGTGGCAGTTCTCTTGCTTTGACAGTGTTTAAAAACCCAATAATGTCAATGGGCTGGGTAAACATGCCAGTGCAGGATGCTACAGTCTTGGCATAGGTTCATCAGTGAATGAAAAACAAATTTTACTGGAGGACTCATGCATTTTATCCTAGAAACTCTTCTGTGCATGGTTATTTTTATTTGGAGAGAGTATTACATATTAAATTCATCTTGAGGTTTAAATACCAAGAAAGTGTTCAATCAATATTTGCGTGTGATTTTCAAAGTCTACAATCACAAAGAAGCACTTTACCAACACTGTCCTTTTCTTTCAGTTATTGAATGAAGAGGTCATAAGTCATGGGTCTTTGTTGGACACCATAGAAAAGAAGGGGTCCAGTATGACAGAACATTATGTTACACAGCTGGAGCTCCAGGACCTGCAGGAACGCTACAAGGCATTACAAGGAAAGACTAAGGTAACTAATAGTTGTTAGTAAACTTAATTATACATGTGTTGGGGGATTGTCCCTAATGTATTCAAATTAAAAATACATAAGTAGTAACTTCTACAAACTTGCCAATTTTAGACGTGTTTTGTCAACAGTTGTCCAGTGTAAGCTAAATAGGTGTATGTGGTCATCTGTACACATACTGGTATCAAATAACTTTTCTTTGGTACTTAAAGGAGAACTATGAGATGCGTGATTTCCACTCACCTCATAGTTCTAGCCGACCTGTGACAATGAGACTGTCACAGGTCGGCTCAGTAGATCGGGAGGTGAGCGAACACATACCGGGTTCGCTCACCTCTCGATCCTGTCACGGCTCTCTGCCGTGACAGGGGGAGGGGCTGGATTCCCCTCTCCCCGCTCCGATCTGCCAGCGCTGACTGGCGGAACGGACGGGGGAGGGGGCGGGTACAGCTGGCTCTGCCTCTAGATAGGCAGAGCCAGCTGTCACGCACGCAGCTGGGCGGATCTCGACATCGATGTCGGGATCCGCTCCGGCTGCGGCGTCTCAGTATACCGCGAGCTGTAGCTCGCGGTATACTGAGCTTAGGGTAACGGGAGGACGCTAGTTTGTGTCCTCCCGTTACCCTAAGGAGAACTATGGGGAAAAACACTGACCCCATAGTTCTCCTTTAAACTTTGTTTTTAGTAATACTTAGGTACTGTATGTTGTTAAATGCTATTGGGAGCCTTTGAAAAATGTGACTCTTGACAACATTTTCTCATTATGTAGAACAATGAACATATGCAAAACGCCTAACAAAAATGAGCTTGCTAATAAACATGCCTTGATAATTCTTATAAATGTGTGGTATCGCTATAGACTCTGGTTGCAGAAAGGCCCATTAACAGTTGTTGACTCTGTTGCTATTGAAACTATGAAATCACTTGCTTAACACAGATATATTCTTTTGCAGGAGGCCATTTTCAAAGTAGATAAAATAGTCTCAGATCATAAAGATTATCAAAAGGGTCTTCGAGTATTTGATGATTGGTTACAAAAAGAGATTGAGAAGCTGGACTGTCTTGAATTGTTGGATGGCAATACTGAGATGTATGAAAGCACTCTTCGGGAACTTCAGGTAGATGACAAGTTTTATCATAACATTTGTTAGATAGCAATTATATATCAATGCAGTAATCCTATAAAACTATAATGATGACTTGCTACACATAGTACAAAGTACTATATCTATGTTAAGACGGTATTAGGACAGTACTTAATTTATATGTAATTATAAGCTATAAATATTTGGTGCTGATAGTGCTCATAGACCTGAGAATGATCTGGCTTTTTCAGCTGGATCTTTGCTCGTACTGAATTTGCTGATGATCAGATGGTGTTGCTACATTAATCCATACTCCAATGTCTGTGCCCAGCTCAAGATTCAAGTAATCAACCTACTTAAGCTGTCTTCACCCAAAAATAATTAAATAGATTAGGTGGAAGCATACAGATAATGAACAATTCAATTTCATTTAATGATGGCTTTTGGATCCATTGAGCAAGGTCTGCACAGGCTGCAAAGCAGGAACCACTGATTCGGTATGCTAAATTTAAAGTACAATAACAGCACAATATTCAGTGTTCCTTTATAACTGCACCATAGTGATTCCACTAAAGTTATGGTGTGCACTTAATCATTTCAACTCACAGGCTCAGAGCTTAAATACCTCCGACCAGACCAAAGCTCAGCTCATGAGAGTTCCAGATTCATAGGTTTACCTTCCTTATATTCAGTAGTGCTGAATTTCATGGGGGTTTGGTAAGATCTCATACCATATCATGGCTAGCATTTTCTTCTTTTTAGGAACTTCAAATGAGGTGTGCAGAAGGTCAAGCCTTATTAAACTCTGCACTACACATACGGGAAGAAGTTATACCATGGGGCATTCCTCACATTGAAGATAGGGAACTGGAATCATTAAGACAGGACTGGCAATTGTATCAGCAAAGACTCACAGAGACCAGAGGACAGATTAATGGTGCTCTAAGTAAATTGAAATTGATGGAAAGGAAGTTCCAGAAGACTGATGAATGGTTGACCTCTGTGGAAGGAAACGTAAATATTAGAACTGGACGCCAGTCAGACAGAGCGACAAAGGAAATACAGCTGCAGCAAATGAAGGTAAAGTCATAGAAAATAATTTTAAATCATTGCTATATTAAATGATTGGTATTTTAAAAATGATTCAGTGACCATACTTAGAATATTAGGATCTATTTGGCCTTGTTATATCTTTTAGAAAGTGTTTATGTTTTTTAGGTTATGTAATTATAACTTGCGTGTGAGATGGAATGTGCTAGTAGTCAGTATTCTATTACTTTCTTTTCTCTAGATGTATAAATCATATAAATCCTTTAAAACATACTTCTGTGTGGAGCTGCAAACTGGACACAATTAATCCGTTTATAGATAGTTCTACATTATTTTTGATTGTATCCTTTATTACTGTACTTTATAGTAATTTTCTTAGAACATGCCCTACAATATCGAGCGTATGACCTGTAGAGCTTGAAGACCACAGTTTCCTGTATCAATATTTTCTGTGAAGTCACACAATTTGAAAGACATCTAAAAAATCAATGTTATAGTTTTCTTACTTTGCTATAAAATAATGTAATCACTGATATTTTTACTTTGCTATAATGGGAAACAAATGTTATATTCCAGAAATGGCATGAGGAGGTGTTAGTCTACAAGGAGGAGGTTGAAGAGGTTGGGTCATTGGCTCAGCAGGTGTTGGAGGAAGGCCGGAGTAGCAGCAGAATGAGTAGCGTGGCCACTCTGCTCGCATCTCGCTATCAAGCTGTCAGGCTGTATATCTTGGTAAATACTTTCAGTTAACAAAATTTTGACTTTTTTTCTTTGTTTTATGAATAAAGCACAAATACTATGTCTGCTATGTGTTTTATCTATGTAGAGTATGGAACAGGTAACTAAGACAGACATCAGAACACTTGATTTATTTTTCAACTAGGCAAAACTTTAACTGCACCATATTTTGCACAAACTAGGATGAGTCATCCAAATGTAACAATTTATGCTTTTCACGGGTTAAGGAATACATTGCTAACCAAATAGCACAATCTATTAATTGTTTGCTTGTCTCCCTCACTTTAGGAACAAACCCAGTTTCTAGAAGAGGAAATCAGAAGCATAGAGGAGTCAGACATTGCCATTAAATCATATACTGACTGGTTTGGAGAAGCACAAAACAACTTTAAAAATGTTACATCAGACATGGGAGTCATGGATAAGACAGGTCTGGAGAAGAAAATGAAGAAACTTGAGGTAATTGAAGCATAGGTTAATGTCTAACTAGTGTGGGGAATACAGAAGGGAACATTGGTACAGTACTGAATTGTTTGATTATGAAATGCACCATGGGGTAATAATGCTTAATGAGAAAGTGGGTTTATTGAACTTCTATTAATTACACACGGTAATACTAAGGCCCCATTCACACATAGGCGTATTGTAATATGCGCGTCTGACGCGCGACCGTCACGCGTTTTTTTACCGCCGAGGGCAGCCGAGTGAATGACCGATCTGAAGTGAAGTGAGCCGAACACTGTTCGGCTATTCACTTCAGGCTGGTACGGCTAATTTCAGCCGTACATCGGCTGAAATCAGCCGTACATCGGCTTGCTTCGTGTGGCTTCGGGTCGGCCGAACTTGCTCAGCATGTTCGGCCGACCCGAAGTGCAGAAGGAGTTCGACTCAGCCGATCCAACATCTGGATCGGCTGAGC